TAGTTAGTTAGTTAGTTAGTTAGCCTTCTGAGTTTGAATCTGTCTTCCATCATACAGTAAATAATAACTGTCTGCAGCCCCTTTGGATGTTATCAGCCCAATAAATGGCCATTATTTGTGGTTATCAGTCCCATTGAATGGCTTCAGATTGTGCCTCCTACCTACCAGTAGGCTGAGTTGGTTATCAAGGAATTCATCCTAATCCTAGCTCTAAGGTAATTTCTTATTTCCCACATAATTAATTCATCTATTTACGGGTAATCTGAAAATAATTTCAGAAGTTCTTCTACTCTGTATTGTACTCATATCAAACCATCCAAAAGCAAAAAACAGTCTCATATCCACTGAGTTTTTTTAATCACTACAATAAATCTGTGTCACTGAAACCTCTGGAATTCATTTTTTAGTAAAGCTGCCAAACACAGTAAACAGACTGGGTACATCATAAATAAATTCTATGGGAAAGGTGGGATACATCCTAGATAAGTCGTCAGTTGGCTTTCCGAGTTTGAAGAAACATGTTTGGTATATCCCTTTATATTTTTTTTTTGTAATGTTCAATAAAATATAAATACATTGAATTTGGAAAGTAATCAAAAAGCTTTAACAATACCATAAACAATGTTTTTCCATTAGAGACGCTGAACTTTAGCCAGCCACAGTGTTTATTTTACCATTTGCATTTAGCACTCAGGTGGGAGATTAACATGTTTCTGTCTGTTGCTGTAGGTCTCGTCTCGCTGATTTCCACATGAACTGCCAGATGACGTCTCAAACAGTCACCAGTTGCCCTTATGACAACTACATTGGCTGCCTCATGTCCTACATTGGTCTCATTGGTATGTCCACTTCACAATTTGTTCCTTAAAACAGACATCTGGATTAATGGATAGATGAGGGATAGATAGACAGACAGACGGATAGGATAAGAATTTATTGATTTCACAACAGAGAAATTTACTTGTTACATTAGCTCTAATAAACAACAGGACTTAGTGCATCAGAATACAGTAGTAGCCATTCAAATTTTTTACTATCAATGTCTGTAAATCAATGTTTGTACTAAAATATTCTTTCTCTCATGATTTGTGGACATTAAGATCTAAAGAGAAGCATAATTCCTGGTCTGATCCTGTAATTCATTGATATGGTGGATTCAGAGTAAAAAAATATGCACGCCCAGGAGAAGGAGGGTGTTGGGTGCCATTCAGCTGGAGTTTGACTGGGAAGGGCCATTTGAATGGCTGCTACTGTAAGTGTAGAAAGTCAGGCTAAAACAAATGTATACATATATTGAATATGTAAGAAAAAAAGGATGGCTATCAAAGGCGTCTCTTATT